ACATCCCACAACTCCTTACTACCATCATTACAATAGGCTCCTCAGATTCGGCTGGTCTTTTCTGCATTTTTAACAAGCCAAGGTCAATGTTATCCCCCAAAGTCGAGATGGCAATCTTTTCTTTATGTAGCTGATATCTAAAAATATCCCGTCCTCAGGCCAGAGGCATGGAGTACACTCCTGCTTCCACACAGCTGGGGTGTTCCTCTCCAGCTAGCTCAGTGGGATGTCAGATAGGAATTGAGAAGAAAAAAATAAATAGAACCTTCAGAGGTCAAACACATTTTGCCAACAAACTTTCATTAGACAAAGTCAGACAGGTTTCTTTCCTGCAGGACTTGTCAGAGCCTTTAAAATGCCAATGTGCACTGTGCTGCTGGATGTGAGTCGGGGGGTCAGGGTGCAGGGTATGAGGGCATTAGGAAAGTGTGATATGCATTGGCCCATAAAGTTTAAGCATAGGACCGTTCTTTGCCAGGGACCATTTCTGGGGTCTAAGGCCCCCGGGAAGAAGAGTCCTCAGTGCTGACAGGTGCCTGCCCATCCCCCTCTGTGCCTTTCCCAGAGCTGAGCACATAGTAGGCCTACAATACATATGTGGTCGTGGATTGGAACTCCAGAGAAAGCGTGAACTGGCTTTTCCATGCCCTGTTTATTTCAGCTGTGTGTGGCAGTGAGACCTTGACAGGCTCAGCATCCAGGCTGTAAGGGAAGCTGGAGTTAAAACTACACAGCCTTCAGCACTGCTAACGCCCTTGGACAGGGCTCTGCATCCGAATTCTGTTCCAGAGAATTCCAGAGACATCCTCTGAGCTGGGAATTGAGAGTCACGAACAGTGTATGGTGTGTAACATGGAGTGATGGTTTCCCAAACAGCGCTCCTGTGCCCCCCAGGCCCGAAGGACCCACTTCCCCTCCTGAGAGGAAAGGCGTGTGAGGTCAGGAACCAGCCGCCTTCCCCACCCTGGCCTGACATCCTGTTTTCAAATAACATTTGTTATCTGCTTATAAAAGTAATACCTGCTCACTATAGAGAATGTAGAAAACACGCAAAGTGACAAAGAAGAAAATAGAAGTCATTTATAATCCCATCCCCTCCCTGCCTAAGACAGCCACAGGAATACCTAGATGTGTTTTCTCTTGGTGTTTTGGGTATAGATATATGTATTTTAAACATAATCAGAAACTACACGTGTTAGTCTGCTCGAGCTGCCATAATGAAACACCACAGACTGGGGGGATTAAACTACAGAAATTTATTTTCTCATAGTTTTGGAGGCTGGAAGTCCAAGATCCAGGTGCCAGCAGGGCTGGTTTCTGGTGAGGACTCTTCCTGGCTTGCAGACGGCCAGTTTCTCACTGTGTCCTCGCGTGGTGGAGACAGAGCTCCATGTCTCTTCCTCTTCTTGTAAGGCCACCAGCCCTAGTGGATTATGGCCCCACCCCATGACCTGGTTTAACATTAATTATCTCTTGAAAGCCCCGTCTCCAAATACAGTCACATTAGGGGTTGGGACTTCAAGGTATGAAGCTGGGAGGACAATTCAGTCCATAACGCTACAATACCTACACTTGGTACCTACTTTTTACAATCCGTATTCTATCTCATGTTAGCCTCTTGGACTGCAGAGTCAGATATCTCTGAGTCCCAGTCCCAGGCACATTCCTGGGCAGCCTTGTGACTCTGGGCAAGATACATAACCTCTCTGAGGCTCCATTTCCTCATCTGTAAAATGAAGGTGACGATAGTACCAGCTCTTGTGGTCATTAGAGGATGGAAGGAGACACTCACTGGCACGTAGTAAGTATGGTCTCGTTCATTCGTGTGAGGACCATTCCCCATGGCTTGAAGTGGCCTTTGACAAAATAATACTTAATAGCTTTAGAATATTCCATAGCATAGATGCACCTTAATTTCCTTAATCCTTGTGGGATAATTTGAGGGCAGAGAAAGTACGAGAAGGAAGGCAGCCCTGGCGATTGTGAAGCCTGCAGGCAGTAGGTTAACTCGGAGCCGCAGAGCTGGTGGAAGCCGGGGCGACCAGTTTCCACATTCGGGACGTCGCCCTGGAGGGCTGGCGCCACAGCGGAGCTGCAGTGGGGTAGCGGCAAAGACGGCGGGAGGGCAGGCAGCGAGAGCCGGGACGAGGGCTCTGGCGGGACTGACTCCCGAGGAGGGAAGACGCAGGGCGGTCGGTATCCATCGTGTGGATCAGCAGAGGTGGAGGGGGCATTTGCGGAGTGTGACGTGGGAGAGTGGACAGCACCCCCGAGCCCCGTGGAAGGGGGCAATGAGGAGAAGGGGGAAGAGCTGGAGAAGAAATGCGCTTCAGCCTTCAGGAAACAATCTTTGAGACGACATGAGCAGTGAGGGGAAATGCCGCACATGCCAGGCGTCCCTGGTGGCCGTAGGTGGCTCCACCCTAGTCCAGGTCACTGTCCTCGTCGCCAGCGGGGGCACAGCTTTCTTACTCATCTCCCCACCGTGGTCTTGTCCCCCAGACAAACCATCTCCATGGAGCGGCCACAGCGATATAACATATGAGCTGGAGCGAGACACTTCCAACCTTCCAATGGTTGTCAGTTGCTTGAAGAATAATATCCGGCCTCTGTGTCACGGTCTGGCCTCCTCCTACTCTCTTAGCCTCATCTCAGGCCTCACGAGTTGAGCCTTCTCAGCCCCAGGGTCTTTCCTCGTGCTCTTGCCTCCTTCTGGAAGGTTCTCCCCTCCTGGCCTGAGTAACTTTGATCCTCCTTCAGGTCTTAGTTTAAAACTGTTCTTCCTGGAAGCCTATCCTGCACCCCCAGACTAAATGAGGACTCCCAGGATGCCCTCTCCTTTTATAACACTTGGGCACCCATGACAATTGGCATTAAAGATTTGCATGATTATTATTTTTAAATTAATAGTCTTTATTAATTTTTAGGTTGACAGAAAATTGAGCAGATTGTACAGAGAGTTCCTAATACTCCCCATTTCCACGCACACAGTCTCCCTATTATTAACATCTTGTGGTAGTGTGGTGCATTTGTTACAGTTGATGAACCACATTGATACATTGTTATTATTAACTAAAGTCCATAGTGTACATTAGGGTTCACTCATCATGTTGTACATTCTATATGTTTTGACAAATGCATAATGTCATGTATCTACCATGACAGTGTCATACAGAATTGCTTCACTGCCCTAAAAATCCTGTGCTCCATCTGTTCATCCCTCCCCCCTCCCCCCAATCACTGATTTTTTTGATCTCCCTATTAGACCCCATACTCCATCAGAGTAGGGACCCCGTCTGCTTTGTTAACCGTTATGCTCACTGTCCCAGCTCAGATCCTGGCACATAACAGGTGCCCTATAAATACCTTTCTTTGCATATTTTAATAAAAATAGGATTCTACTAAACACGTTATTCCGCAATTTGCTTTTTACAAATATTGACAATATATCTTGGAAATCTTCCCGTATCAGAATATAGAGCTCTCTCCCTCTCTGTAACTTTTTATTATGGAGAGTTTCCAACATGCATGTGAAAACAGACTACTGTAATAAACCGCCATATACCTGTCACCCAGCTCTGGCAATTATCAACTCATGGCCCTTCTTGTCTCATCTATGTCTCTGCCCCTGTTCTCCCTTTCTGTGTTATTCTGAAGCTAATGGCAGACATCACATATTTTCATCTGTAAATATTGCAGGTGTAACTCTAAAAGATAAGGACTTTTAAAAACGTAACCACAATACCATCACTGCATCTAATAAACATTTGTTTGATATCGTCAAATAGAGTCAGTGTTCAAATTTCCAGCTGTCTCATGAATGTGCATTCCATTTGTTTATCTGAGTCTAGAGGTTGTTTGAATCAAGACCCGGATGAGGTCCACACCCTGCAGTTGGGTGATATGCCTGGGAGGTCTCCTCCTCCCTGCTTCCTCCATATCAAATTTTGCCCCTTGCAATTCATCTGTTAAGGAAGCTGGGACATCACCTCTGGAGTTTCCCTCACTCTGGTTTTGCTGATTTTACCCCCCCCCCGCCGGTGCTGTTTAGTATGTTTCTCTGTGCTCTGTATTTCCTGTAAATTTGTAGCTGGATCCTGAGTCTTGATCAGATTCACGTTCAACTTGTTTTGACAAGACTGCTTCAGGGTGAGGTGTATCCTTCTACGGGGAAGCTTCTCTCTGCTTGTCCCTCTCTGTGACAGTCCAGGCTGTGCCCAGAGCCGTTCACTCAGTAGGGGCTGCTAAGCGGCAACCTTCTGATTCTATCATTCCTTCTTCAACTATTAGCAGGAATATTTCTATAAAAAGAGACGTTCCCTCATCAACTGGTGGTTATCTGGAGGTACAGTTTCTATAGGATGGGCAGGACAAGTGCTTGATTCTTTCTCTTTATTTACCGGTTTTCAGAATAATGAGTTGCCTATAAATATTTGAATGAATGAATGAATAATACATGTGTGGATGAATTGACAGGGGTTTGGGAGTCGGGGGTTCTCTCTGTCTCCCCTCAAGGGCGTGGGCGTGGGCCACGTGGGCCACGGCTGAGAGCAGAGGTGCAGGCTGGGGCCAGGTCCTTGTCTACACAACCATGGGCCGCGGAGGAGCTCTTGCTGCCTGTCAACCCACCTTGGTCAAGAGCAAAGGTGATCAGAAGCTGCGTTACTAAAAATACAGCACCTGGGGCAAGGGCATCTTGTCACCCCACACTGACCGAGATGTAAGAAACCCTTGGAACCACCATCAAAGAGGACAGTAGACCAGCAGCAGAGAGCCAGGGCAGCCTTCACGCTGGGAAAGGCTTAAAATGGTGGTGTTCGCTCGACAGGAGGGGAGTCGGGGATTTTTTCATGGCAGGTTTCACTGGTGGCCTCCAAGGTTCCTTCCAGGCCAGCCCCAACATCCCCCCCGGCCCTGCTGGCTGGGCTCACCTTTCCCCAGGGACCGGCAGCCCTGTCCATGAGTTTGCTGATGTCTGTGCCCCCTCTGTGTCCCCCCAGGTGCAAGTGCAACCTGCACGCCAACCTGTGCTCCGTGCGCGAGGGCAGCCTGCAGTGCGAGTGTGAACACAACACCACGGGCCCCGACTGCGGCAAGTGCAAGAGGAACTTCCGCACCCGGTCCTGGCGCGCCGGCTCCTACCTGCCGCTGCCCCACGGCTCTCCCAACGCGTGTACGTACCAGCGGAGGGGCTGCTGCTGCGTCCCCAGCTGCTGTGTGCCCCAGCCGTGAGCCAGTGAGGCCGTGGTCCCGCTGCCCGTCAACCCCAGGAGCTGTGGATCACACACACACACACACACGCACGCAGAAAAATGTGCGCACAAACATACAAGCACACGTGCACACACAAGCATGCACGCACGCACATATATGCATGTCCACACATGCACATGTGCACACAAATGCACGCGCACGCGGGCATACACACACACATATACCCCTTGTTACTGGGCTCCCAAGCGCCCAGCCTTGTAAGCAAGACCCTCTGGCACACCTGCTGAAAACCTGCTGAAACCTAAGCCGCCCTTCTGGCCCCAGCAAGCAGGAAACCCGAGATGAGCTTCTCAGCATCTCTCCTGCTGTCCTTCCCCTTCTGGACCCAGAGGCTGGAGAGAAGGCCCCCCAGGGTGTCAGGGAGGAGGGCGGTGAGAGCCCTCACTCCAGGCTGACGTGATCAGCACCATCCCTCATAACCAGCATTTATGGGGCATTTACAACCGGCCAGGACGCTAGTGGTTACCACCCCCTCGAGCCTCAGAGTGGCCCCTGGAAGCGGGTCTCCTATTATCCCATCTTACGGAGGGATCCTCTGAGGCCCTGGCCCTCGCCCTCTGCACAGTCCTCCCCTCCCTGGCTCAGCCTTCCCGTGCCAGGGAATCGCTCCTCGGGTCACCCATACACGCCTGCATCAGGAACACCCGCCACTCCCCAGGGGCCCCAGCATGGTCCACGGGTGTCTCCGTGAAATCACAAAGCCCCCGGAACCCCTGAGCTGCTCTCCCAGACCCACCCCCTAGTGACTTTACTGACGTCTGCCGTCTGCCCGTGCACTGACAAAGAGGCTGCACCAGGCACGTTAGCACCAGCTTCTCACTTAGCCCTCACAACAACCCTGAGGGGTGGTATTATTATTACCCTGCTCTCCAGATGAGCAAACTGAGGCCTAGCAGCCCTCAGTGCCCTCCCAGTTTTAACAGCAAGTTATGTGCCAGTCACTGGACCTGGTTCCAAAGCCAGGGCCGGGCAGCAGCCTCCTGCATCAGGGCTGCCCATCCACCTGGGCACACTCCCAGGAGCCCCTCCATCGGTGCCCTCCCTCCACCGACGTGAAAGATTTATGTGACTTTAGGCTGATCAAAGCCGAAAGTCTCACAGCGAGGCCGTGACAGGCACGTCGTGCGTGTGCCGGGCCCGAGGCGCGACAGGCCTTTGAAGAGGTGACTTGCCAGGCACACACAGCACTCGTGGCCTTCAAAGGCTCAGAGAGCGCTCTGGGCGCTGACAACCCGCCCCGCCCGCTCCCTCCTGCCAGGTGCCCGACCCAACTCTTTGTTGCATGAGCCAGTTCTTGAACTCTGTCTTTAGTGGATGTCACTTCCCTCTCTGATTCACTGTCTCGCCTCCCTTCATCCGTTCTGCTGGCCTCCCCCTCCTCTCTCTCCTCCTCACCTCCTCTCCGTTCTCTCTGTGTCCCATTCCTCTTGGAAGGATCCTCCAAAGTCTCCGGGCACCCACAGACTGAGACTCTTTGCAGGTCCCCGGCTGGAGGCCACCCTCTGTCTAACCAGCGATGGACAGATGGGCTGGGCCAGCCCTTTGCCTCTGAAACCTCTCCTCCCCTCCACCCTGCAGGGATAGCCAAAGCTTCCTTTTCGGGGGAGCTCCTGGAACAGCTCCCTGCTCCCTGATTCCCCAAGATCCTCAGGAATTGTCTGCGTGGCCCCCAAGCCCCAGGAAGGAGGGGATTCTCCTGGAAAATGCAGGAGCGGGGGTGAGGCTGGGGGTGCTTCCCCCCACCACCCGGGCTCCCACCTTCTCTGGGACAGCTAGGAGAAAATAGCCCAGAGACACAGACGGAAACAAGCCCAGGTTAACTCTGCCCTCCCCCGCCCCTCCTCCCATGTCCCCATCTCAGCAAGTGGCACCGACACGCAGGGGGCTCAGCTGCAAGTCTGGGGGTCGCCCTTGACTGCAGCCCCTCCATCCCCACCTGCTCACATCTCCCCACCTCTGCCCTCCGCCCTGCAGTCGCGCCCCTCCCCTCGGGGCCCCTCCAGTCCATCCTCTCCTCCACAAAAGGCTTTCCTTGCCTGGTGCTCACCTGTTCAAAACCTTCAGTGCCCCCCCCCCAGTGTCCTCAGAATAAAATCCTAACAAGTCAAGCCCCCCATACAAGGCCCTGTGAGATCACCACCCCCTCCCCCCGCCTCCCACCTCCGAGTTCAAGCCCCCTCCAGGTCCACTTCTCTGAACTCCCACCCCCCAAGTGTCTCTTGTGATTGGATCTTCACCTCCCTGTGGCTTGGAATGCTCCCCTGTGACCCTCTGTGACCTTTACCTGGCTGGCTCCCTCACCCTCTGAGGCCCAGCTTGCCCCTCTCTGCCCTGCCCCCAGCCTCCTGCCTGTCGCCCCCCACCTCCCCGGCCTCCGCACACACCCTTACACAATAACTATCTGCTATCTGTGTCCCTGCCTGCCCCTCCCTTAGCCTGTCTGCCCCTGAGGCTGGCCTCCCATGGCATCCTGAGGCTCTACCCCGTGCCCGCCCGTCCTCGTTGTGGGAGCTCAGATGTGTTGGTAGAGGGAGGAAGTGTCAGCCGGGCGCATCCTCCCAGGCCTCCCCAACTATCCCGCCTCCGGGCTCACCCAGGAGAGGTCCATGCACCACCCATCCCCTGCTGATGCCACAGCGTCCACTCCGAGGACCTCCCGGGCACTGGGGGCTCCTCAGTGGCTGTCTTTTCTCAGGAACACCTGCAGGGGGAAGCGTGGTACCGGCTCCTTCCTTTTGGGTCTGTGACGATTCTTACCCTGGTCAAACCAGGCCTTAGGCCTCCCTCAGCCCCTGGGGCCCGGACACACGGACAGACAGCAGGTGGAGTCAGGTCTCTGCCCCTCACCACTGTGTGCCCTTGGATGAGTCATTTCCCCCCTGAGCACTGTTTCCTCGTCTGTAGAATCAAGACCCTAATGAGCCCCCTGTGGGGCTGTCGTGAGGACTAGGTGGCTCCTGTGGGGCCACTGTGATTATTTTTCAATGGGGTATTGGGCCGTCCCCGCATTTCCCCTGATGGGAACACACTCCATGGTTTCCCTCTGGTGGTAAATTCCATCAGGGCCCCAGGAAACCAGTCTGCCCCAGGGGCCGTGACCCTCGTGTTCCCAGACATCCCGTTGCCCCTCGGAGAACAGGCTCCCGCCTCCTTGTCCTGCCCTGGAGGGCCCAAGAGTCTAAAAACAAATCAGAGGGGTGCCGGTGAAGCCCCCAGCGGAGTGCTTGGCACTTAGGAGGTCCCCAAGGGTAAGTCATGGCTCTGAGACTCAGTTTCCCCACCTGCAAAATGGGCTAATAGCGGCTCCTCCCTCTCCGGGCGGCGGTGAGAAGGAAAGGGGATAATCGGTCCGCGTCCCTGCGCAGTGAGGGCCCAGAGACCTGCCAGGACCTGAGTTTCCTTCCCCAGCCCTGCGGCTTCCTCTGCAGGGGTTCCTCACTCCACAGCAGCCACGCTGTGACCTTTCTTCTCTCCTGCAGGTGCCGCTGCGGGCTCTGCCATCGGCAGTAAGTACACACCTGGGTCGCCGCCCTGGGGAAGGTGTTGGGGAACCCCAGCGCATGAGCCTCTTTGCATATCCTGGAAAGTGTGGGAGAGAAAAGAAGGGGCTTTCCTGTCCCCGCTGGGCCCGCGGGCTCTCCACGCCCTCCTCTGATTGTGCCCATTCGCTTCTTCATCGCTCACCCCCTCCTTCCGTCTCCTTTGGTGGCGCCAGCTGAGTGCGTCTCACAACTTCTCCCCCTGAGCTTCTTGGTTAGTGCTGCTTTGGAAAGGTCCCCTGGACTCCTGGGTGAACTCCCCGCTCCTCCCCTTCCCCTGGGCAAGAGTGGAGGTCACTGTCTTCCCTGGCCAGTGGCAGAGTCCCCCCCAGCCTGACCGTGGGGCTGGGCCCCCACCGGCAGCCTGCAGTTGTCCCTCTGCAGCCACTTGGCTCAGGCCCCAGAGCACGTTCGCCCGTCTGAAGGAGGCGGGTGGGTCCTGAGAGCTCAGCGAGGAGGGCGGGAAGGCTGGGCGTGGGTGCCGGCGGGCAGGCCTGAAGTCATGCTCAGCTCCTGCCTCTCAAGCGCCAGGCAGGATGCTCCAGTGCCTCATTTCATCCTGGCACCCCCGCCCCGTGGGCATTGCCGTCCGAGTCAGCAGCAAAGGACGAGCCAGTGTGGAACAGACGCCAAAGCTCAGAGAGGCTTCGGAAGGGGTGCCGCCTCCCACCGCCAGGGATCTTTGGGCCCACGCCCCACCCCAGGCTGGGACACAGTGGACGGAGAGAGCACCGGAAGGAAGCTGGATCCTGGGGGGGACGCTGTCCACTCAGTGGTGCTAGTTGCCTCACACCCGCCGACTCCCCCACTTGCTCTTGCTTCTCTGTCTCTCGCCAGGCATCTGCAGGTCCCGGAAAGACCCCACCCCCAAAGCCCCTGTGGCCATTGTGGCCATGGGGGGGACCCCACCACTCCTGCCCCCAACATGCTCGCTGCTCAGGCCCCCAGGGCCCCCAGCATCCTACAGCCCACAGGTGGGTGACTGCCCTGGTGCAGCCCCCACTGCCCTGCCCTTCCCCACTTCTCTCCCGAGTCCCTGCCTCTGTCTGTGACGTGCGATGCTCGGGGGCCGTCAGCTCTTGGGAGGGCTTGGCTCTGAGAGTAGAGAATGCTAGAACCCTAGTGCCACCAGAGCATGGGGCTCAGGCAGGCCATCTAGACTCACCTGTCATGGGGCCCCAGCCAGGGGATCCAGGGCTCACGTCAAGCTCCTGGAATGTTCTTCCTCCTGCCCCCAAAGGCACTGCTCAGGAGGGCCCCGAGACCAGCGTGGCCAAAAGAACAGGGAGACCTGGGGGGGTGGGCAGTGGCAGCGAGGCCACATGAAGTTCACCCAAAGACGGGGCCTGTCTCCCAGCAGCTCCTGCCTCAATGCCCCGCAGAGCCAGCCACCCCACCCCCAGCCACCCCGCAGGCTGCTCTGCCCCCAGCCCCTCAGCAGCCAACCCTGGGAGTGGACAGCCAGCGTTAGCCCAGAGGGAAAACCCCTCAGATCAGCAAGGCCAAAGGGAGCCTCTGAGCTGGGGTTTTAGAATATGGACCGCTGGGCATTTGGGGGCTGAGGGGGGGGGCAGGGCCGGGCTGGGGCCAACGTCCTGCCCCACGTCAACCAGAGTGGCTGCTCTCAGGGACCTGCAGCTACAGGCAGGCTCTCTGACGCAGATTCCACTCCAAAGGCAGGATCTGTGTGTCTTCGAGGCTTGGAGTGCTGGGTGGCCCTCTGGTCTCCCCTGGGGAGTCCCGTTAGACCCTGCACACTGCACAGGCCAGGAGTCTGAGAGGACTCATCCTTCCCAGAGGGTTCCAGGAAGATGCTGGCCAAGGGGAATCCTTCCTGGTCCCAGCCAGGAGCCAGAGGGTAGCATAACACTGCTCTTTTCCTTTCTGCCTCCTCCCTTCTCCACAGGAGACATTTGCAGGAGGCGAGGGCTAGCCAGGACGCTGGAGGATTTCAGGGGAGCCTCCTGGCCCAAGAATCCTCTTTGGGGTGGAGTATGGGGTCACTCTAGGAATTCTAGGCTCCGGACACGAGTTGGCCCAGCCGCCTGAGACTTGCGCTTTTTTCTGAGACTGTGGATGGGCAGACAGAAGCAAAAACAGTCGTGGTGGGTGCTGTGTCTGCCTGCAAATGGTGGTCCATCTGGGTGGGAGGCCAGATGCTCTCTCTATCACACACACACCGGGGAACCTTGAACCCATGGTCAGAGCTGCCTCTGATTTGGTGGAGGGCAAACTGCAAAACTGGGAATTAAGGGGAGAGTCAGAGGCAGGGCAGTGAGCCTGGACGAGGTAAGGTTTGAACCATGAGGGTCCCCAGGACCCACGTGGTGAGAAAGAGGCCCCCTCCCTCCAGGCTGGACTAGCAAACAGTCAGTGAGGGCATGATCAGCTGGGCATGCTGAGCCCAGGACCCCGCGGCAGGGCATTAAGGGGAGACGGCGGTTCCAGTGCGACAGCCAGGGGCCTGAGCAGCCCACATCCAGCGTCATGGCTCCTCTTTAGCGCCTGAAGCCTGTGCACGGGGCCCCGTGATTCCTGGTCCCCCACTGATAATGACAGTCGCTCCAGCTGGGGGAGAGTGGACATCTCCTGGGCTAGGAGCTATGCTTGCATTGTTGTATTCCTCTCTCACAGGTCCGTGAGATGGGGGCTGTTACTTTCCTAGTCCCCCTGGTGAGGAAAGTAAGGCTTAGGACGAAGCGGCTGGATTTGATGGCATGTAAATTGTACCTCAATAAAGCCGCTTAAAAAGAAACAAGAGAGAAAAGAAAGCAGCAGTGGCTCAAGGTAACAGGGTTACCAAGGCCCACAGGCAGGACTCGAACTCGGGCCACTGACTCCAGGCGCCACCTGCCCCCTCGGCCCCGCAGTGCCACCGCCCTGAGGCCTCGGGGGCTGGGAGGTGGCGCCATGGCTTTCAGACCTGGCTTGCGTGGCTTCAAAGGAACAAACAAGGCCTCCATCTGGTCTTGGCACACAACACAGGCCGCTGCGAGAATGTTCTTCCCGCACACCTGAGCCTGTCCGTGGAGAGCCCAGACAGGTGACTTTCCCGCCCCCGGAAAGGTCCAGAGTCTCTCCAGGTGCCTCCCAACAGGTGCTTCTGGTGGCCAGAGCCCAGCTGGGCCCAGGAACCCTGCCCAGATGCTTCTCCCTCCCGCCAAGGTCAAGCTCTCTGGAGGGCAGGGGCTGCGGCAGGCGGGAAATGCTGCTCAGCGCTAATCCCCTCCCTGGCTCTCCCGCCGTGGAGGGTGGAGGGAGAAGGCGCCAAAGCCAGTGCCTTCAGGGCGGGTTTACTGCGGCTCTAGTTAAGCCCCTGCCCATCTGGGTCTGGCAGTCGCTTCTCCTCGTTGAACACCATATTCATGTCAATTTGCTGTCCAAAGGCTCCCGGCTCCCAGCTGGAAAGTCTCCCGCACTTTTTAGATCGTACATTTTCTTTTTCTTTCCCCACCAACCGGCATCGTGCTTAATCCCTTTAAGAAGTGGAAAAAATCCAATTTCTCCTCTGTTCCTCTGGGTTTGTCCTTTGAAATTCGGCCCAGAACCCTTCCTTGCCTTTGCCAGCCCGCCTGCTTCCCCTGCATTGTGTCCAGTTAGTCTCAGAGATGGGCACCATGGCATTTGGGGTTTCACTCACCTTGGGGTCCCTGGTGAAAATGGGCCCAAACCAGGGGTCAGCGAGGTGGGAAAGGGGCTGACCGGGGAGGCAGGCCAGACGTCGGAGGATGCTACAGTCCCTGGATTGGGGTTGGACAGGAAGCCTTAGAGGACACTTCTGGACACATTTGATGTCTTGGCCCGAACACACACCCCCTTTACTGCCGTTAGCCAGAGACTTCAGCACAGCGAGGTCTGGGTCCAGGTATGGGACTCTATCTACCTCGACCCTTCAGTTGGAACGGGGACCACACAGGGAGGGTAGAAGAAATCCAAAAATCAGGCATCCCGCTGAAGAAAGGACTGCCCACAGTATGCAGACTCTCGGGCACGGGGCCACCTCCCAACCGGCTTGAAGTCCACCTGTGCCCTGCACAGGCAGCAGTAGTGTAGACGCTGCCTCTCCAGGAGATTTGGACCCAGTTCTGTTTGGCTAGTGTAGAGAGTGGCTAGAGTTGATTCTTATAGTGCTGCTTCTCATAAGGGGGATGTAGGGGTGTGGGAGTTTGATGCCTCAGTCTGTCCTCAGGATTCCCCACCCCCACCCCCTCGCATAACTTGGTTTCTTCTCTCCTTTCCCCCAAGAGTGGATCAGGCCATCTACAGCTGCCCCCCTCCGGGAGAGCCCCCCCTGGCCCCAGGTGTCCTCCAGTGCAGAAGGTAGGGGGGGCAGGGCCTGGGACGGGCCATAATCCTGGGAAGCTCCGTCTTAGACTGGTAGGCCCCTCCCTCTGTAGTGGAGGTAGCAGGTGTGGTGTAGCCCAGGGAGGGAGGGGGCCTACGGGAGCCGAGGGGAGGGGCCTTGGAGCTCTACCTGCCCCCAACCCCAACTCTCACCTACTTACAGAGGGCCAGCGTGACTTCACCAAACCCAAACCCTCTTGATCCTACACTCTTCCAAGGGCTTCAGAGCCAAGTGGAGACTCTGCCCTCATAACAGAATCCTCTCTCCTGCCACCGTCATTCGCAGGATACCCAGGCAGTGAGGGAGCTCAGAGAGAGTCCGAGAGGGCTTCTGCAGGAGCTGGGTGGCAGGCAGACCCAGCAGGGGAGTTGACTATGAGTAGACATAGGGAGAAGGCAGTGCATTCCAGGCAGCAGGACCAGCGGGGGCAAAGGCTTGGCGGTGAGCAACCAGCCTGACAAAGTGGAAGATGTGTCGGTTAAATGAGGGCAGGGGCATCATGGAAGGCACTGACACCAAACTGAGACCCTCATTCTCCCACTGCAGTGGGAGGAGACACGCGTGGGCTCATTTGTAGCCGTAGATGGACACGCACAGGAAGCACACAGGGCCTGCCTGAGTCTCCGAGAAGGGAAGCTGTCCCCAGTCCCAGCTCACCTGTTCCCTTGACAGTAGGCCCTAACAGCCCGGCTTAGGCAGCAACCCCACCCCACACCTCAAGTTCCCTCCTGAGCCAGCTATGCGTAGTGAGCAGGGCTTTGAGTGCCCTCTGCTGGCAGGCGGTTTCAGAGCCTGAACCACAGTTAGTGAGAGTCTGTGGTTCCCAGCAACCTGGAGGCCCCTGAGTCAGGGCATCCTCCCTGGTGATGGACACAGGTAGAGCCAGCTGGAGCCATCACTTCCCTGCCCTGGACCAACTGGGGCACCGCAGACTCCCAGGGGGGAGCTGAGGCGACAGTGCTGCTGCGACAGTGTCAGGCTTACCCACAAAGATGGGGCTGGGGCCCCGGTGGGATTCTGGGCAGTGGAGGGCAGGCACTGTCTGTGCTCATGGCTCAACAGCACCTGCGCGTGGGGCATCCATGGGCGGTAGAGGACGCAGTTTGGCTGGGGCAGGGAGATTGCTTCGGAGAGTAAGGGAGATGCCAAAGTCTTGAATGCGGGAGTTCAGTCTCTGGATTTGATGCTCAAGGGATTTTGGAGAGGAGAGGGGAGGGCAAGGCGATGTTTTCAATCAATCAGTCAAAAAATTGTTCAGCTTCAACAAAGTACTTAGTGCGCTGTGTGGGATGTTGGGGACAGGGAAGTCATTTGGGAGGATTAATCCAGCTGGATGTGTAGGTGGTCTCCGAGGGGGAACCGAAGGCGGGGCTGCTGCTGCATGCTCCTCCTGGATGTGCTGTGTCACCTCCAATCTGAGCAGGTGACAAGGCTGCCCCAGAGCTTGCCCAGGGCACTTTCCTGGGCTTTTCCTGGGCTCAGACAGTCCACCCTGGGCAGCTGGACCATGGCTGATGAAAGAGCTCGTTTCTCATCTCTCCAAGATTTGGGCACCTCTGCCGCTGCCCCTGCCCCTGCCCCTGCCAAGTCCTCCAAACCTTTCCAGCTCAGGCCCAAATCTCCTCAAGTGATGCCTATTGAAGAATTCCAAGGTAAGAGGAAGGCGCTGGGGCTGTATCCGCCCTCCTCCATCACCTCCACCCCCTCCACTGGAAGAAAGGATGCCTGGCTCAGAAAACCCTGCAGGAGTAGCTGGGTCAAGGTGATACTGAACCTGTCTTCCCTCCAGTCCTGCCTCCCCAAGGGAGCTGGGAGCAGGCATGAGTCAGAAGCCCAGTGGGCAGCACCAGGCAGGCAGAGCAGCTGCCAGAAATAGCCTGTCCCGGCTCCCCTGGGAGGTGTGGCCCAGGGGCTTGTCTTGGTTGAAGCAAGAGCTGGGACACAGGGGTCACCAACACTACGCCTTGGGACACTCGGAGGATGCCTCATCTCGTTGTCCCTGGAGGGACAAGGTGATGGGGGCAGATCCGGGAGGCCCAAGGTGTGGGAATGCCCACCACCTCCTCCTGGCACATCTCAGAGGCTCGTGCCTCCAAGGTGCCCCGTGTCCTTGACCACCGACACCTGGTCAGTCCCTCCCTCCCCCATCACAAAAGGGAGGTCTGGGCCTCTAGAGATACACAGATGGTATTTCAAGAGGGAGGCCGGCGTCCTTCCTTGTTCAGGGACAGCCACACTGGCTTTCTTGCTCGGGGGTGTTGAGCCCCTTAGGAGGGACACCAGGGCCCCCATTCTTGCAGCAGAGAAGGTGACCCTCCTCACCAAACCCCACCCCTTCATGACATCATGGGGTCCACCTCCAATCCCTGGGGGCCTTGCTCCAGTTCACAGGACTTGTCCCTGGAGCAGAAGTAGGGCCAGAGGAGACAGCAGGATGGCACAGAGACGGCTGTCCTCAGTGTGGTGCTGTGTGGCTCCAGTAAGAGTCAGAAGCGGGCCAGTACTGGAGGAGACAAAGCGAGACGCCTTAAGGTGGCACTCACTCTCAGGGTTGTGCAAGATTGGCCCTCAAATTTGCAGAACAGCTCAGGCTAGTAAGAAAGGGTCCTGCAGGTGGGCGTTTTCCTTCCAACCATCTTCCAAAGCAGCCTGGGGAGGAAGCTCCTGGCCCATTCCATCTTGTCCAGCGTGCATGCATGCATGCATCCTCCACTGCCTCACTGCGGACACAGTGAACCCAGCCGTGAACCCAGCACCACCCTCCCTGAGCTCACAGTCTGGCCGCATGAGTTGACCCTGCATGAATCATTTTCTAGTCACCCCGGCACCCTGTGGGCATCCTTCAGAGAGCACCTCGCCCTGGCACCCGGCCAGGCCTTTAGCAGGTGCTGCCCACGGGCCCTCGCTGGGTGTCTGCCCACAGGGCAGGTGGGAATTTGTGGGCTGGGCCTAGACCAGTTCTCCTCCGGGCTCAAAGCTGGCAGGCCCGTCTCCTCCCAAATGGCACAGAAGCGTTGGGGGCCCAGGGCACCTTCCCGTGCCAGGTCCTACCCCCTGCATGTCCTGGGGTGGGTCCTTCTTCTCCCTGTGCCTCAGTTGCCTCGAATGCACGTTGGGGGGAGGGGGCAACAGGAAGGCCCCGTCTGCCCGCGCTCGCTGACCTCGGTGTTCCTCGTGCGCGGCCGCCCAGACTGCGAGTGCTACGGCCACTCCAACCGCTGCAGCTACATCGACTTCCTCAACGTGGTGACCTGCGTGAGCTGCAAGCACAACACGCGCGGCCAGCACTGCCAGCACTGCCGCCTGGGCTACTATCGCAATGGCTCCGCCGAGCTGGACGACGAGAACGTGTGCATCGGTGAGCCGGGCGCGGCGGGGAGTGCGCTGGGATGGGGTGAAGGGCACACGGCCCGCAGCGCAGTGCTAGGTGGGGTCTGGAGACCCCTACGTCAGAGTCCCCTGGGGAGGCTGTGGAAATCCCAGTTCCAGGGCCCACTTCAGCTGGGTGTCTCTAAAGACAGAAGCCTCCGGAATCTGCTCTACTGATAACCTCCCCATGCGGTCCTCCCCGAAGGCGCTAGAGTTTTAGAAGCACCAGTTAGAGTCAAAGACTGGTTCTAGAGCTTGCCTTGCTGCTGTGTGCATTTGGGAAATTCCCTTCCCCTCTCTGGGCCTCAGTTTCCCCATTTGTAAAATCAGGAGGTGGATCAGATCAAAGGTTTTCAACCCTTTTTTGTGGCTGAAGCTTTTCTTCAGATGAAATTCTCCCAATGCTTTAGAAGCAGAGGCCCAGCTTATAAAGCTGCCCTCCAGCCCCCGTGGGCACCTGGTCTGCTTTCCTCAAACTCGGCTCCAGGACTGGCTTTTGGGGTAGAGAAGGAAATCGTGGGTACCTCCGACCTGGCCAGGGGCAGGCCATCCCAAAAGGCCAAACCCATGGCCCCCAGCCAATACCCACCAGCCTGGAAGGGTTGCCCACCACCCCCAGCCCTGTCTCCAGTAGAGGCCAGGTCTCAGCCCTAAGTGCCCAGCCCCTTTGGGGCCCCATCACTCATCCCCCATCCACCAGGTCAGCTCTGGCTGCACAGAGGGGCTGCCCACAAAGGTGGGGCTGTCAGTCTGAATTAAAGCAGCGGCCTTCAGATAATTCCAACTCTAAAGTGATCCTAACAGAATTGTGCTGCCCGTGTCACACTGGCCAGCTGCAGGGACAGGGCGGGCCTCTGGATCGGATTAGAGGTGCCCCTCCTCTCCCGGCCCCCATCTTCCTTCCTTGCGGCTCTCTGCACCCCCAGGCCCAGCACTGGGCTTCAAGGACTCCCAGAGTGGGGACATTTGCCCCTCCCACTGAGCAGACAGCCGGAGGCCTCGGGGGCTGCTCCCCCACCCACCGTGGAGAGGAGCTATACTTGCGGGCTACACACACACACACACACACAGCCCGGGACAGACGCCCCATAGCCTCTGATGAGGCTCCTCCCACCTGTCAGAGGTGTAGCTTTTTGGAGCTGGGAAGGATCAGCGCCAGCTCCAGTTACAGACGCGGGACCGAGGCCCAGAGAGGGGAAGGGGCTGGCCTAGGCCACACAGCGCCAGGGCCGGGTGAGGAGGTAATGGATGCCAGGGCACGAAGACGGTCTTCCCTCGAGATCTGGACACCCCAGGCAGCCCCCACCCACCGTCCAGCCGCGGGCTCACGCAGACACGGTGTGGGGAGCATGGCCCGGGGAGTGCCGAGACCCGGCTAGGAGGGATGCGGGGCCAGGAGGGGTGGGAATCCGTGCGGACGGCGCCCACGAGTCGCTCCGACCGCACGCCTTGCACGTGTCCGTCCGTCCAGAGTGTAACTGCAACCAGATCGGCTCCGTGCACGACCGGTGCAACGAGACCGGCTACTGCGAGTGCCGCGAGGGCTCGGCGGGGCCCAAGTGCGACGACTGCCTCCCCACGCACTACTGGCGCCAGGGCTGCTACCGTGAGTGCGCGCCCGCCGGCGGGCGGGGCCTGGTGCTGTGGGGG